AAAAAAAAAAAAATAAAATAAAAAAAAAAAAAAAAAAAAAAAAAAAAAGGATTAGTGATAGATAATTCGACAAAAGTACAATTTATGAATGTTCTGATAAATATAAATCATGAACTGCAAGCAAATTTAATATGCTATTAAGAAGCTTCACCTAAGGACATTTTTCTTTCGGCTTTTATGCTTAAAATGCATCGAACTGCTGGATACAAATCGTTGCAAGTCATCTTCAATAATTACAACAGAAGTCTGTGGCTGCAATGCATTATGAACTGATTTTATTGCCACATTGACAGGCTGTTGAATCTGTGGGTCTACTACAACAGAATCAGTCATCTTTGATTCCTTTTGAACATCCTGCTGTACGTCCTTCTCACAACTTGGATTTTCAACAATTTGCGTCACTGCAGCTACAGCCTAAATATGTAGTTCTTTAAAAGAAATTAACAATAAGTTTCTGAAATGTTTTGGGACAAATTCTATTACGTCACTTTAAGCCAATTATATCTCAAAATGATAGAGCACTCCACACAAATATCATGAGAATAGAATGATGTAGATGTCATATGAATCTTGCAGAAGCTTGCGAGATAATACTACACACTTGATTTCTTTCTAACTGGTAACGTCGTAGTAACTGAACAATTAGTAAAGCAGTACGGGCATCTTGCTTAATCAATCGTACAATATCTTGAACAGCTTGTTCTACATGCAATTCTTCTTGCAACTTCTCTTCTGTTGTAGCTAAATTTTGTTGTTCGGTTATCTGAGCCTAAATTCTCAACATTAAATCCACAAAATACAAAAACGAGAATAAACGAAGATGATGTAGAGCAAAAAATAAATCCTATATCAAATTGTTTCGTTTCAAAAATCGACTTTGAAAAGAGATTGTGCCGAGAAATGAAAAATGAATCTGCCTGCATTTGTTGCTGCTGAAGTTTATGCTGTAAAAAAAGCTGTATGTGAAATTTGTTCAGATGCTTAATGTCAAGCTGATTAAGCCAAAGATCTGCATCAGACTGCTGTTGATAGCCTTCATGCTGAGCATTTTCCTGTCTTTTCGCTTGCTAAAAATTGATTTCATGCAAGTTGCAGTTTACTAGTATAACTTTGAAATCTTTAGCCAATAAACCATAAATTTAATAGCCGCAGCCACTTGTGGGAATATTTCGAAGCATGAAAAAGATTATAATTTTTTCCGAAACCACAACTGTTCAATTTGAATTACAAATTGACATTTTCAGCCATCAGATTTATGTTTTCACTCTACACTAATTCATACTTTTATCTCTCTAGCTTCTACACAATATAAACTCAAAATAAAACAAACTTGCGCTTTTTTGGCTGCTAAAATAATTTGCTGTTGGTGTTTAAGCTGCTGCTGTGAGTGATGTAGCTCTTTTTGCAGTTCTTCAATTTTTCGCTGTTGAAATCTTAGCATCTCTTCATGTATAGACAAAGTTGTGGCAGAAAGTCTACAAAATTTTACTTCTTAATGATAGTGTTATATTTTCATACATGGGTACTTTGAGCAGAAAGAACTTTTAAGCCAAAAGTTTAGAAAAATTCAAATTAAACCCAGCAAATATACAAAGGAAAAATGTTAATGCCTTTATCTGATTTAAATACTAACAAAGCATTCGTATCACTTGGATCGATATGAGTAGGAACCGCTTCAACAACGACTAATTTTTCAACATTATTTGGTGGTGATGGAATGTCGGGCGAACTACCACTCGCCGAATCTGCAGTCACTGGAGAACAGTGAGGTTGAGCAGATTGCATCGATGGACATAACACATTCTGAGACCCACCACTATCCTCCTTAATATAACTTGTGAAATACTGTTTATTTTATGGCAAAAAATGCTTTCTAATACAAACAAATAACGACTCAATGCTTTTTTGCTAACAAGTTCACAGTACTTTTCAGACAGAAACACAGGAACGAATATCGAATTATCATTCTTTATTCTACAAAAGTAAGCAAATAAGAAAACCTCATTGAACTTAAAATTTTTAGCGAACCACTATTTCATTTATTTTTTCATGAAGTAAAGAATTAAAAAAAATAAAACCGTATTAAACTTTGCAAATTGTGAATTCAAAGAATAGTAGAAATTACAGGCTACTTTACTCTCAAATTAAATGGAGCTACTAATGCAGTAAGTACGAACAGTAGTCACATATATACTTAATAAATTACGGAAAGCAAAGTATACTTTAAAAATGATTATTAGTACCTTTGAGCTATGTCCCGCAACATTATTATACAAAAAGTATTGACCCTGACGATTGTGCTGCTTAAAGCAAGTAGTAGTTGTTCCGGAATGTTGAATTTGTACTTGATATAACTGCTGTTGCGATTTTGTAGCACGTAATGGTACTGCAGTCAACTGGTGTGACCCTGCTCCTACCACACGCTGATCTGGAGACGCTGGAGAAGGAGTTAACTGACAATTAAGAACTGCATTCCCCAAAATCGTGCCTTGTGTCAACTGAGCTTGCTGCTGATGCTGTGCATTAAAGGAAGAAAGGATAGATCCCTGCGTTTGTTGTTGATGCGAGTCATCGCAAGACGAAAATACAGCACCTGTTCCCGAATGAGTTTGTTGCTTGCTATTACAAGATGAAATTAACGTGCTCTGTGTTAACTGGGTTTCCTGATGTTGGTGCTGTCCACTACAAGACGAATGCGTTTCATTTTCATGCTGCAACTGTTCTGCAGAAGATTGCCGTACTAGGGTAAACTGAAAATTATGATTCTTACACATTAAAAATTGAACAAAGGTTGTTGGGTAGCACACATGTTGTCTTTTAAACTTCAAAAAATAGATAATTTTATCAGCTTTTCACTTTTCTTCTGCACTAAGATTATGTTTCCTAGAGACCATGATTTGAAATACACATATTTTATAATTAATAACTTGAGTCGTGATTCGTTTTTTTCTTCCAATTTTTAATTTCCTTACTATACCAAAACAAATTACCTGCCCACCCGATCCAAGCTGTGCGAAACTGAAAGTTGGCTCATTTTGAACTTGATGCACCATATTCTGCGTAACGTGATTATTATTTGAATTATGTTGGTGATAACGATCACTTAAAGATCGAGATGTGGTATTATCATTCACAGAGATATTAGAAGTTTGCGAATGATCTGATGTCTTACAACAACACTGCATATTAGGAGGTACCGTTGCTGTTGCAACCACTGCACCATTAGCATCCACAAGCTATAAAATATTTTTAATGTTTTCAAAAGTACCATCACTAGTATTGCCCTCGATACATATTATCAAAATATACTTTGAGTCATTTAAGCCCTTGTACAAATAATCAATTAATGGAAAGACGACCTTGTCATTTATTCATTAATTAATGAATACGTTAAATTTTTAGAAGTAGTCGTCAATACCAATGTTAATTACGTGCTTAACCAAAAAGTAATGCATCAGCAATTTAGACACAAGATAAGGATGGTGAGATTCTGAACGGTTTCTTCATTTTTATGAAATGTCGTATAATGTTTCTCACCTTTCTAATGTTTTAAAAAGAGTGAAGGACAAAAATACATACATGTAAGACCTGGTGCTGGCGCTGCTGAGCAGGAGGCAGTTGTACGACAAACGAATGCGGCTGAATTGACTGAGCTCGTTGTATAAGGGGAGAAAGAGACGAATGTTTGCTGGATCCATAATTACCAATGACATTACTGATCGGAGGTAACCGATTAGATGAAGCTGCAGTATCAGAAATTGGTGAAGGAATGGAAGCTGGCTCACATGACGACGAATCCATAAATGTGGCAGTACAGGACTGATTAAGGATCGATTCTTCGTAAGGTTTCAATCGCTCCAGCAATTGCGGTTTTGGACCGGAAACAGGTAGTTGACGCTTTTTGCACTCATTTTTGAGATCTTGAACTCGATAGTCTGCAAGACGGGATTTTGGCTTCTCAATATCACTTACAGGATTCACAATGCCTGATATTTCAGAATCATTCAAAGTAACACTGGAACAGCGACAACATTGCTGATTGTCCTGTCCTTGTTCTGAAATCACCGATTGCACTCCAGTTTGAATACAATCTGTGCCCATTAATGATTTTTGAACAGATGGTGTTACACAGCGTGATGCTCCACTCGATGAAGCGCATTCATCCTGATACGGTCGTCTCTCCTCATTCTGAAACTTCGTTATAATTGTAAAAACTTTCAAATTAAATAAACTGATACTACGCAATCAAGTACAGACATTTACTCTTGCTGCTACGATATATCACATTTTTACAAAATTACAAACTTCTTGTAAGCTGCCATGCGTTCGAGATTCTTCTACTTCACGTTGCCATTGTAAAAACAACTGCTGTTGTTGAAGTAACAGATCATAGCTGCTCTGCATCTCACATGTATTTTCATTCTTTAAAAAAAAGTAAATCAGCCTGTTCAGGACACAGATATTTATTACTAAAGATTTATAAATATCAATCACTGCATTTAGCAAATGTGTTTTGAGCTGTTTGATGCGCTTTCCGATAATTACCGCTTTAAAAAATAGCTTCCCAAGTCAAATATTACTTTTTTATTTTTACAACTCTTGTGATAGCACAAAAACAATAAAATTAGATTTAGAGACAAACTTTTTCAAGAAAAAGGTTTTATACAACTGACATTAGCTGCATAACATTTATATAGCCCGAAAACGTAATAACAAATTGACAACGCAACCTGCCACAAATTTATAATGAAACAACTATAGATACACTGTTATTGCTTCCTTGTGCTGTTTGGAGCTGATGTTATGAGAATTTAATCTAAAAAAAAAACCGAACTTGCCTGTTCAGTGACATTCAGCAATGACGAACTATCACTCATATATGATACACCATGATTCGCCAAGCCGTCATCCAATGTTTCTGTATCCTAATCAAACAGTAAAAAATTATTTGCTGGAATAATCAGAAAAAGTAAACTGAATTACCCAACCATGAAAAAAATTCACATCAAATTTTTAGCTGTCATAGAAGTGAATATTTACTGATGCGTAAATTTATCATTATTGTCGTCAGTGAGATAATGACGTATTACTGCTTTTATGAATAAATTTAGGCAAGACAAATGCATAGATTCAAAAATGAATGTTTTCCGGAACTGAATAACGTAATATATTTTTTTAAACGTATACTTTTCAAGAATCCTTTTACACTCTTCAGCTTATATGCAAATAATAAACAGAAAAAACTCACCTGATTACTTTCAACAGCAGAATCTTGTGTTTTTAGTTTTGATCGAGCGTTTGGTGAAGGTAATGTCTGGACATAAGGTGTCCGATACTGCGAACCTCTTCGGCGTAATTTTGATTTTACCAAACATACATTTGGTACTTTCTTTGGATATGTATATGTTGATGCCGCAGCAGAAATTACCTCCATCTCTGTGTAACAAAAGTAAATGTGATATTTTTGATCGATATATTATATGATACTTGCGCAATTTGATAAAGTACGGTAAATGAAATCGAATCAAAACGGTTACATTTGTATCAAATCAACACCTACTTCCTCTGTAGAAACAAAAATGATTGTGTAATAATTGCACATTATTCGAATTATTTACTTTGCCCTCACCTGATTCTTCTTCTTTCCTTTCAACTTCGTTTCCTTGGTTGGTTTTTGTGAATGATAAACGACCCTCTAGAAAATTGACAAAAATATTGATTAATACGCAACCGATTAATTCCTTTGAATGCACTTTTTGAACTTTTCTTAATTCTCAACTTATAGGTAGGTAAAGAAATTTACTAAAACACTGCTTTAAATTAACTGGCTATCTTCAAAAAAAAAAAAAAAGGAACTTTAAATTTAAGATAGAGAAATCATATTTTAACTAACTAAAACTAATTTATGAGACATCAGTACCTAATTAATAAGTCATCCATGCATATTTTATGATCAAGCCTAAATACTTAACTAACAACCTTGTATGGCTTGCTCCAGTTCAGCATCAGCTTGTAGAATTTTTTTAGTAATCAACTCGAGTGGCCCAGGTCGATGCTGCAATTTTCTGTTCAAATCGTCTCTCAATTTACACAACTTCAACTCTTCTGTCTTCTGCTGAATGGATGCATCTGCATTAGACGCTATAATAAAGCCAAAATTTGTAAAAATAATATGCACTCAGTTTTTTTTTTCTTACAAAAAAACATACTTTAACCAATCAATCAGTCTACCAACAATGATAGCAATTGCTGAAATCATAAAGATAACTGAAGAAGCAATCAACTGCAGTGTTGCGCTATTGTCCAATAATTATTTTTAATAATCGTTAGATAATCAGACAAATTAGCAAGCAAATAATAAATGGCAATGTTATTAATGACAGAGAATAATCCATCATTAAAATCACGATACTCTACTAGCAATCTTAACTTAAAGCTTTAAATTAATCAGACAAAGTATCATTTGAATGAAAATGAACTTTGTGATAAAATATAAATTAAAATTTTTTAATTTCATTGTATTTTCATCCAAAAGAAGTTCAAAAAGAAAATCAGTCAATAAGCTATCTAAATTAACATTAAACAAAATACACTAGATCAGTTGACCACATAACCAATATTGAGAGAAAAAAATAAAATAAATTAACAGATGAAATGCTAGCAATCGTTAAAATGGGTGTAATTTCATCGCTTAAAATAAACTGGACATTAGTAATTGTCATTGCAAATAGAATTCATTATTGATGCAATTTAAATCGAATTAGATGATAGCACAAAAGAGCATTAAATATAAAAGCAAGAATTAGACATACAAGGATATATAGCATCATTTTCAAAGAAGCTACACACAATCTAAATAAATTTAAATCTTAAAAAGAAATTACCTGTCAGTAAGATATGTTGTCGAACGAGAATTTGCTTGGATGGACGTTGCTCAATTCTCCGTTTCAAAGTGTCACGTTCTTTTGATTTTAACAAATTCCGTTTGTCAACTTCTTTTGCTAAAAAATCACAAATTACAAACATTCTTTCAATTATTAATCTGTGAAATATTGTTAGAAACACTAGTGATTTCTGGGCAAGCATATCAAAAAATCTGGTTGACAAAATGAATAGCGACGAAAAAGAAAGTGCTGAAAAATAAACTTGACTGGATCAATCTCTGTGAAACAATATACTCTTAAATTAATTTCAAATTTACAAGCACAAATCACTTTCTAAGGTATAGCTTAGCAGGTAAAATGCAAATGCGTGTTAATTATAATGATTATCAATAGCAAATAACACACTGAACAAAATATTAAAGACATTTTTAACTTATGACAAACAAATTAAGTCACACTAAGGAATCAAATATGAAATCCCATGTAGCCTGAGAAAGTATCGAGTTTTCACAGAAATTAAAAATGGATATTCTTAAATATTCTAAAAATATCATATAATGTTGAAATAAATTACTGAAATGACATCAGACAAAAAACAAAGCAGTATAGAAGAAAAACATAATTACATGATTAATGATAACAATTATTATTAAAGTGAACAAATACTTAACAAAGTTAGAAGAATATGTGGATAACTTTGATTACAAGTGAAATATGAATGAAAGTTCCAAATGTTTGGCAGTTTTAGCAACAATAATCAAGAAAAACGTATCATTTTTTTTATCAAAAAGGATATAATAAGAAATACGATTAAAAAGGAATTGCTGGTGTATCGATATTTGCCTAACAAAAAAACATACAATACTGCCTGTCTTAAAACAATAAAATATATTGCACACATCACTTATCAAAACAATATTAGTGTTTAAAACAACGAAAACAAAATCTAACAAAAGTCCCAAAACTTCAGTAGATATTGATTTTAAACTAACAGAACAGAGAATGAAATAGAAAGAAGATTTGTTCAAAAAATTTAAGTGAGAACCACTGCTTGAATCAAGCATTATGTAATTAAAAACTGGCTTCTGAATCAAGAATTAGTATTATCAGATATAGAAATGCATAAGTATTACTAATTCATTTTAAAATAAAATTTACTCTTCCGATGAGACGGAAAAAAAAGTAGAGAGGCAAAAACAATACATTAAAAATTAGAAGCAATACGCTTAAATGACATATTGCAACTTTGTTTTAAAAATTTCGAGTTGAAAAGAAATTGAATTTAAAAAGGAAAAAATAACATGGAAATCTTTTTTACGGCCAAAAATCTATATATTAAAGTTGCTTTGAGAAGTTATCAAACAAGATTTTAATTAAAAGAAACACAAAAAGTGGTAAGTCCATCTTGGTTTCGATGCAAGACAAACCATCTTACTGATAACAGATTCCACTATTTGTGTTTCATTGGCTGGTAAACAAATTTTTTAGCAAAATCAATAGTAAAAGTAACAGACTGATCCAGTAGTATCTGTATCATTACTGTCATCAATAATAATATTAATATTGATAATAATAATAACAATAATAATAATAATATTATTATTACTATCCAATATTGCCATCAAATTTTATCTGTCGTTATTTTAGTTCTTCCAACATGTAAACTATGAACATACAAAATAAGTCAAAAATGTTCTCAGACTAAGACAAAATTATTTAAAGAACATAAATAAATCTATGATAAATATGTAGTAACAGCAATTCTTCTATCAACATGATAAACATGACTTATAATTATATTTACCACTTTTGCAAAATTGAAATAAAAAGTAAACTACCAGAGAGGTCTTTCGAACTGCCACAATGCTGTAACAATAAACTTTCTTTCATCCATTACAAAAAAAAGTTGTAAATTTTACGAATTAAACGTATTCTCCCGATATTCCGATGAAATTCATTAATCACGCAAGAACATAAATTAGATTAAAACGAAATAAATACGAAATTCAAAAAATCAATAATCAAGTTAACTGATTAATTAATTCATTAATTAATGCTAAATGAACGTACTTGATAATTTTGTATGAAATATTAACATTTTCTTTTCATGAGCAGCACGGACTAGGTTAACGTGTAAATTACTTGTGATATTTGATTAATTATTGTCGCAAAATTTCCCTTTTCAAGCGAAAAAAAAGGAACTAAATAATGGAACAAATAATAGGAACTAATAAAATAATTGTATTAAAACGTTTATTGCTTTCAAATAAACTCCAAATGATATGAATTTTTTAACAAACTACAAATTACGAAAATTAAAAAAAAAGAATAAAAGTTAGACGCTAAAAATATGCTTGACTTTTCTGCAAAATATTAAACAATTTCTTGACCTCTAAGAATAAATGAAAATAATGAACATTGAAGACATCTTAAAAAGTAAATTTTGAAACTATCAACGTATAATACAACATTATACAGTGTCATATTAAGTAATCAAATAAAAAAATTGACATGAAGAATAATTGTACTAAGACAAATGCAACTATGCTGTAATGATCAAATTACTCTGTATTACTTTTTATAACATTAATTATTTATCCCTTTTGTTTTGTATATAAAAACTCATAGCAAAATAACAATGCTAAGCTAATGCATGTGGTAAACATACAAACATGCACTTGTATTTGTCATTTTGAAGAAAAAATAAAAATGTTCGCATTTTTCATCTTTAATCTGCCATTGTGTTGCACTCAGCTCAGAGTAGCAAATGAGACACAATTATGACATTCACAACAAAAAAGTAACAGCAAAATTAGTAGATAGCCATTTGCTCTGTACAACACACACATCACAAAAAAACAAAAAAAAAAACCGTCACAAAATAAAAAACTAAGCAAAAAAAATGAAAAAAATTTAAATCAAATGAGCGATTGATAGAAAAAGAGCATACAACAGCTGTGCTTTTCAATTTTCGGTAAGTAAAATAAATATATTTTTAAAAAATATTTCAATACATATTTAACAAAAATATAAAGTAAAGTACAATGTAAATAAGTGATTATTATGTACTTTAAAATTTTAGAACACTTAAGTCTAACTTGCAATTCTGCTAAAAGGGAATACATATGAATTGTAGCACTACTTTGACTGATCTTCAGGTTTCATTTAACAGTGTTCTTCACGTGAAAAACCATATTTATAACATTCTTCTTTTTTATGTATACATCATGTTATGCGTACTACTTAAATTTATCATGTGAAAAGTGATGTGACAAAATTGTATACCTAATCTTACTACGTACTACGGCATATACTTGTAAAAATTTTATATTTTAAATGATAATTATGACTAAATCCCGCAACAAATTTCAATTATTTCAAACCGTACGCGATTACGTAAATCTTAATTAAAATAGTACATTCTAAAGCCTTAATGCTACTTTCAAGTCTGGCTTCATTCAAATATGCCCCGTAGTTATCGTCTAGCAAGCAAATGAAATATGTGCTAAAAATGCAGATATGATATTAAAATACATGAGAGAAGATGCAAATATATTGCAAATAAATCATTGAGATGATTAGCAATGATCACGGAAAATGCTACTTCATTCATTGTAGGAAAGCCAGTCACACACATCACATATCACCAAAATTAAGTCAAGGAAAACAGAATGCAAAGATAGCATAACTATGGCAGAATACTTCCTACAATTGCACTCTCTTATTCTTGAAGGATCAATTCACCGGTTATACCTTGCTATCAAGCTTAGAACAATTTGCATCTTCTGTCTTAGAGACATTCGCATAATTTTTATGTTATTAAACTTTAGAAGACTTTATATACTGTTCAATATACACGTATATGTGTGTACATACGTATGTATATCTGAATCTTTTTATCAAAAGCAAAATCAAAAAACATATGGTGAAAATGTATAAATAAAAAAGATGATGATTGTCTAATGTGCTCTCAAAACTTGCATAATCAAACTTAAGAACAATAAAGCAATATTCACTATTTTTTGTAATAGTATAATACTTTATACTATTCAGCTAATCTTAGGTCAATTAAATAGCAAATTGATATTTACAGTTTATAAACTAATCTTTGCTTTTGAAATCACTGCAAAAAATGTTTGCGCAGAGCAATTCATTATTCTCTGCTGTTTGAAACAAAATACATTTTAAAAAAATAGTTCAGTCAGGTTATTTCTTTTAAGATCATATCAGCGCTGATATAATCATAATTCCAAATTCACGGAACTTGTGAGACAAGTAGATATGCCATAAAAAGCTGAATTTTAGCCTCGACGGTCTGGATAACCGCAGATCAGTAAGCAGTTCAGCACCAAGACACTGTTATCTTTTGACTTGCACAAATTAAGATTTATAGACTACTTACACAACTTTCCGTAATGATTGTTTAAAAAAATGACCACACGATGATAAAATTGCTCTTTTACAGGATTAACCAATCCTAACAATTATGATCATAAATGTCCCATGCATAACCATCTCTATGCATGCTAAGAACTCATCCAATCTTTAAAAAGTATAAAACAAAAATGAATTTTTCAAAAAAAAGAAATCTAGATTATACGAACAAATAGATGAAATACATTCAAAGAACATATGTTAGCGTAATTTAAAATGGTAAACCAATATCAGTTTAGGTTTGTAGCATATTATTTATTGATGGTTCTAAAAGCTTTTAAAAACGATAAAATTTAATATCTTTTTTAGTGATAGTGAAATCCTTACGTGTGTTTGCTTCGATAATCGTGCGTATATTTGCACGTGTTACGATGAATATAATACACGAATGCTTATTTAATTTTAATTTCATTCAATTTTTCTTTTACTTCTCATTCTGACAAGTGGTTTATAAGTTTATCACACCACTACTTACCATAATTCAAAAGCAATTTTCACAAACAATAATATTCACTACAAAAGATTACTATTGTGATGTATCACAAACGTAATGCTTTTTGCTCTGGAAAATCCCATCATAATATTTGCATTAGTTTTCTAGCATTTCGTATTGCGCATGCATTTCTCTTCAATGCATTAAAAATAAATACAAGAAAAATTATATAAATACATGCATACATATTCAGTCAATTATTACAAATAGTTTTT